AGAGAGAGAGAGAGAGAGAAAGAAAGAGGGAAAAAAGATCGGGTTGCTGGTCGAACGCGAAGGATGAGATCGCTTGGAAACGAGCGATGATCAGTCGTTGATCGATCGATCGTCAGTCGCGTCGTGATGGAGGTCCAGCCGATCGTGCGACCTTCTTTCACTAGAGTCGCTGGAGGGTGCGGATTCGGAGGGTGTTTATTCAGCCGGAAGTGGTCGTCGGTGGTTCGAGACGCGGCGCGACAGCTTGCCAACTAAAATGCGAGAGCTGAACGCGACCGCATGTGCTGCCCTGTACGAGCGCGTCGAGTGGTCCGGCCCGTGGATCCTGGTTACCCTGATCGTGCTCGCGATCGTCAACGTGATGGTGGTCCTGGGCAACGTGCTGGTGATACTGGCTGTCTATCACACCAGCAAACTGCGAAACGTCACGAATATGTTCATCGTTAGCCTCGCGGTGGCGGATCTCATGGTCGGCCTGGCTGTGCTTCCGTTCAGCGCTACGTGGGAAGTTTTCAAGGTGAGATCATTCTTTTCTAGTAGTCTTGTATTTCTTGTGTTTTTTATTTATCAATTAGTCTATCATTTATTTTATATTTCTCTTGTTTATTGTTTCATATTTCTTATATTTCTTTTATTAGTTAGTTCTATATTTATTGGTTAGTTTATTTTATATTTACGTTCGTTGTCCATTTTACGTTTCTCTCGTTGAATTTATTTACGTGATCTTTCTTCGCGAATAATCCGAGGGAAGAACTGTGTTGATTATTAAAAAATCATCGTCTAAAAAATTCAGTTCGTAGTTCGACGCAACTTTTCCCCACGAAAACATTATTCAAGAAAAGAGATTAGTTTTTGGATTTATTACAAAAGTAATGATTAATTCTCTGCCATGTTTTGTTCTACTATTTATGTCACTTAAATAAACTTCAGTGATTTATAAACTTCAATAACGCGAGTGAATTTTCAAACGCAAGGCGCTAAGAGCAACTCGCCAAAGTAATGCAGTTCTCGCGAAGCAAAGGAAACAAAAATATCCCGTGTAACAATCTCTTCGAACCGGCAATGTAATAAAATTCTCATCCTACGAAATGAATCTACAGTAAATATCGTCTGCAACGATCCCTCGAAAATGATGAAATTCTTACGAAACGGAAAACACCAATACCGCAGTAAATACTACGTATAACGAAATCCTAGAAACCCGACCATCTGCCTCCACCCGTTCCCCGAAAGAAAGAGTTCAGAGAAACTCTTTTATAGCAGCGAACACTTTTATAGCCGCAGAGTAATATCACGCTCTATGCATCGAAATTAAAACGCCTTACCGTCAAATAGGAACGAAACACTTCAAAGAGCGCCGAACACCAGAAATGCTGCACTACCCGATCGACGATTTTTCATCGTTCGCAACAGCGAGTCTCGCCTGTTGCCCTTTGATCTCTCGCCCATTCGACGTTCCACCAACCAAATCGATCGATCCCTTTTCTTCCTCTTTCTTTCTTTTTTTTTTTTCTTCATTCCTCTCTTCCTCTTTTGTCCCTCTCTCCTTCGTTTCTTCCCTATTTTATACGTGCAAGGAACGTGAACCGAGACGAAGAGTGCCAACGACGAGTCGGCGCGAGTCGCTGTATCCACAGCGCAGTGAATACCGAGTTTTCGAGTGCTCTCGAGTGCAAACCTGCGATGAAATTCGACAACCTCGTGACGAACGAAGAGAGGAATATCGGAGCGAATTCTAGTCTGCTAAACGTTCGTTTTGCATCCGGTACTGTTACCGTGATTTTCCGGAGAGGATGTTGCATTTTTTACACGGGGGTTTTTCGCGTTTGTTTCTTTTTCCGCAATTTTTTTCCCTCCCGGTAAAAAGTCGACGCGTGTTTGGCAGAGTTCTCTCTGGTTCATCGAAAACGGACAGATTTCTGTTTTATCGAATCTATAGTCGGGCTCAATTGGAGTCGGGAATTTTAACAATTTTTTTTCCTTTATTATTATTTTTCTGTTTTATATACGACGTTCGAGGTATAATGTTTGTATTGCTAATCGAAAGAAACGAACAATAGTTATCCTCCTTAGGGAAGAATTTATTATAATAATTTATTATAGATCGTTAGGTAAATGTAACGATTTTTCATCAACTTATTTACAAATAAAATATATATTTATAAATATATATAATTTAATAATTTATAAATAAATATATATATATATATATAACAAAAATCGCTGACGAAACGATTTCTTCAGCTTTCATGTTAACTTTCTGGGTGCTTGAAATTACACAGAAAGTAAAGTATTATTCCTTTTTATAAAAGGAATAATACAGAATTGAGGAATGTGTAACAAATTAAAAATACATTCGTCTTCAAACATATAATTTTTTTTCATGTGTGTATTATCTTCCTCGAATCTATAACAAGTATTTCATTACTCATTGTGTAACTACTCTAGTACGGAACGCTTACAGTGTCAAAGGCGAATTTTTTTTTTTTATGTTCCGTTTAAAACTCGGTGTCCAGCGAAGATTGAAAATAAAAGGAAAGAATATTATTCGGCGAAAACCGTGTCAAAAATATTTCTGGACAATTATCTCGGTTATTAAAGCAGCTGATAACCCGACGCGCTATCACCGAAGAATTCGTGGCAAAAAGCGGGCGGACGAAATAACCGCGAACGGGGGATGGGTTAGGCGCAACAGTTTGCCGGCTTTCGTCCTTCGTTTCTTCCTGGCCGGATTCCCTCTGATTCAACCCCCGAAAGATGAACGTTCCTGTCTGAAGAGGGTGAGGCTGGAGCCACCGTGAAGATTGTTGCGCCTAGTATTCCGCTCGGAGAGCACTGGTATTTCGACTTGTTAGTGTTAGAACGAAATTCCAGACAGGCGGGTTATTCGTTATTCTTTCGTCGAACGTGTTTGCTCGAGGAATTTTACGCAAGGAAGCAATTTATATTTTAGATTTTCTTCGTTTTCTCCCGTCCCTGGTTTAGATTTTCTTCATTTTGTTTTGCTTTCTTATTCCGAGCTAGACAGATCTCGAAATAAATGTGATTTCGGGATCTGGCGTTGTTTCTTTCTTTCCCATTGGATGGGGTGGAATTGAAGGAATTTATAGCGCGTGAGAAAGTGAATAAAACTAATCGATATAGTAGAATTAGATTCTTAGCCTTTATTTTTAGCCTTAATTTCTTCAAGCTAGATTTCTAGACAGATTTTATTATTTTATATTCTCTAAATAGAAATTTATTATTATCAACTGTCCAGACTTTTAGATTTATCTTTCTTTTATCGGATGACGCAAATAAAAGAATTTTACGTGGAAAAATGGTTCTTCTCTATTTTATGGTCCATTTTGGATTGTTTTTACTCTTCTTTCGGGAGTTGATTCGAAGAATTTTACACGAGAAAATAGTTGCTTTGTTATACATTTATAACAACTTCTTGTTCTAAAATATAAAGTTATATGCTCGTGATGCGAATTAAAGTTTCGGGGTTTGAAGAAAAAAAAAAAAAAAAGAATCACAGTACCATGCAATTTAAATTGGAATTTCACATCTAAATTTCTTTAATTTAAAAGTCAGAAAGTTTCATCTAATTTGATGTTATAATTATTGTTATAATTATTGTGTTCATCCAAAGCGTTTAGAAAGAAAATCATCAGACAACAGCTCGCCCATGGACTTCAAATTTTTCAAAAATATCTTACGTGAAATATGTACGTACGTATATAAAAGAAGAAAAATTTATTGAAACTGAGAGAGATAATAAACATTTGAAATGCAGGAAACATGTCGAACGTAAAATAAATTTACGCGAGACTAGGGAGCCTTGTTTTTAAGATGAAAGATGATAATGCATTCAACAAGTCAAGGGAAAACAGTTGGTGCGTGCTTTGGACAGATAGTAGCGGCGTGCTTAATTTAGGAAAGTAAAGAAGGTTGTAAAAAAGGAGATGAAATGATGTTGATTGTAGCAAAATATTACATTTACGGTGGTTAGAGCAAGAAAATGATGAATAGGTTATAACGTGTATTCCGCACTGCGCGTTTATATTCCTTTCAAATATATTTTGCCTGCATAATGGTAATATAATTATAAAATACTTCATTTGAAAAAATTATATCCCGTCCTAATTTCGTTGACTCTGTGAATACTGTGAATTCAAATTAATTTCACTACAGTCCAACTTTTGCTTCGTTATGTTTCATAAAAAAAAAAAAAAAAATTGTCCTCAAATTCAGTGTTCGTTCGTGGTCCCTTCTGACATGAAATTTATTTTTATAATAATATTACGATTGATAAAACATCTATGTTAATATACCATATTGTTTGACATTTAAACTGTATTTAGGTACTTAATTTTTGGGATTAAATAGGTTTCTTTTAGATTTCTTAATAGATTAATTGTGTTAATGGAAAAATGGTAAATTTGGTAAGAGTGATCGAAATTGTTTGTAATTTTAATAAATAAATAAATAAGTGTAGTTAGCTTTTATTTTTCTGATACAAGATTCATTCTTTAATCATCATTGGTAATTCCAGTGTTAACGATATTTTTGATGTTCAATAATTTAATAAATTCAACCTAATCTGATGGAAACAAGTAAATTCCGAAATAACAACAGATTGATAAAAATTTAGAATAAAAGACTAAAAGAGTTATTAAAAGATAGAAGATAAAAATTAGAATGAAATACTGGGATAGTAAAAAATGTGGAAAACCAAAGTGAGAAAAGGTCATTGCGAGATACTGAAAGAATTATTTAAAATAAAAATTTAAAAAGAAAGATACAAACGTAGAAAATAAAAAAAGAATCGAGTAGAAAATCGAAGCGCATAGAACTAAAGTAACCGCTGGGAAGCAACCCATTCTAACCCATTCGCCATATCAGATGGATATCTAATGCCGTTGTAAAAGCGGGAATAATCCTCGTGATTCTTACACGCCATGAAACAGCTTTGGGAACGCGTTCTCCCAAAGCACTTCAACTCCTCTCACGCGGGAGGAAAATCGTATCCTCCTCGACAGAATATACCAAGGCTATCGCTCGTGTATTCATCGTTCGACACTATAGTCTCACTATTGAAATAAGTTCACACAGCCAGGAATCTTCGGAAGGGTCT